GCTTTGACCATTTCTCAACAGTTTAAACACACAAACGGAGGAGGATGATGTATTATTTTGCCTAGGAAACTTGGACTTTCTTTCTCTCCCTGCACTTACCCTCTTGTGGTGTTTTCTGATTACTTCTCCTCCCTGACAGTTTTGTGTAACTTCTGTTTGTAAGCATTTTAAAGATGGCTTAGGTCACAAAGCTGAAGAAAGCCAAGGGTAAGCCATAATGTGGGTACATAGCTGTAGTATTAAAACATTGACAAACAAGTGTTGTGTGTATTAAATGCCTACTGCAGAATTTCTACATACTATGCCCAGTCGTTTACTACATGTTACGACTAAGTTTAACTATGATTTTTTTCTAGCAACCATATTCTCTATGTTCTTAAAAGCCAATATTATGTATTCTCTACATTCTTAGAAGCCAGCAAAAGTCGAAAAAACTCCCCTGATAATAGAGTCAGATTGTGACTGTTTTCACATAGGATTTTCTTTAAAGCTTAATTAAGTGTAGAACAAACCAGTTAGCTGTGGCTAGAGGCTAAACTTCTGCCAGTTTGTTTGGTCCACTTGACAAATGCATTTCATGCTCTAACAGGACATGTTTTTAAAGCTTTATTTAATGGGGGCTGTAATGCTTATATCAAATGGTATCACGTGCCTTGTATATGTTAAGGAAAGAATGGGGACTTACCTTTTAAAAACTAAGTAGGTAAATCCCAAGGCCCATTTGAAGAAGCCTATTTAATAAACATCATGATTTTATATACGTTCTTTAGAGAAGATTAAGTAGAAAAATGTTAACTCTGCTATAAAATGTTAATGATCTAAGTGGTCTTAGTCTGTGCATCGTAACTTTTAAGAATTTGAAATGAGTGGAGAAAAAGTCAAATTTGGCACAAAAGTACAGTATCTGCTAGATAGACTCATAGATACTTTGTCAGAAGGGTTCTGTAATGACTATACTGAGTATTCTTTATGCATATATAACCTCTAGCAGCAGGTGCACAGTACACATTGCAGCTACTTTTTATATCTGAACACTTCAGAGAATGGACCACAAGTAACAGTTTGGGGTTAATGGAGCAAGAGTTGTTTACCTTTTTGTTTCAGTTTTAGGTTTGTGCTTTATATTATTACTGCTTTTATTACAGCTTTCATTTATTTGCAATTACTTCAGGAAATGTCAAAGCGAAGATAAGAATGAAAGCTCTTGGACTGCTTCCATTAGTTATTTTTGTCAGCTGTGCGCTGAATTGCTATTTTTTGGGGGTGCCATTCAAGTTTTAGCAGGTTTTCTTCTTTTCTTGCTCATACCTCAGCTAAGCATGATGGCGTGGGAGTTCTGTTTCAAGAAACTTTAGAAAATACTATCTGAAGTCTTCCTGCTTGAAACTTACCTTTCTACAATATCAGGAGAGAGAAATAAGTTGATTGAGTATAGAGCTTGATAATAAGGAAAGATTTCAGTAAATGGAATTCACATAAAATTAGGAAAAGGTTTTAGCAAGCATAAGAAATGCGAATTGAAATTGTGAGGGATCACTTAATAGAGGTCTTAAGGGAACTGTGTTAATTATGCTCGTGTAAACCGGAGAAGAACAGGTTCCAACTTCACCAGCTTTAGTGTCATAATGATAGCTTTACTGGGTTAATTGTGTTCTTGACTAAGCTTTCCCTGTGCACAGTTCATGATGTTGAAAGATGACAGCAACATATGAGGAAGAATTGAGGTTTCTACTATTGTGGTGAGGTTCATCCAGATACAACCGTGGCTGGATGTATTTGGAAAATATTCCTTGTGAAGCCCTATACTGTGAAGAAGGCAATAAATAGATTTTCTGCATACTTGTTTAAAATAAGTGCTTCCCCCATTATTTTTTTTAGAGGTTTTCTGACATTTGCAGGGTTAAGTTGCATGACTTCTGTTGTTGGATAAATTTTCTTTAGAACATGGGAGGCTTCATGTATTCTGGCATGATAAAAATGGAAGTTGAATTTCACAATAAATATTGGAAACCAAAACCGGTGAATTTTAAAAAAGAGCAGACTTACATCTGTTAAGCCTAAGTGTGTAAACCCAACACTTGCAGAAAGTGGTAGATTAGCATCACCTCTTTATGGCTCTACACTGTTAATATCATAATACATGACAAATACATCTATGCCTCTGCTTCTTAGAAGTTTTAGTTGTAGCTATTAGAATTCTGGCTGTGAAAGTTGGTGGTAACTTCTACAAGTTTCTGTAAAATTCTCTCAGTTCCTGAGAAGTATAGCCAATAAACCTGACCTTGTAGGGGCTTTTATTCAAAGCAAAACTAGTACTTAAACAAAACTGGTAAATCAAGTGCAAGGATGCCTGAGAAACAAAGGAAAATAGGGTCAATGTGAGTTGAGTGACTATGGAACAACAAGTTCTTGTGTGATATCAGAAGGATAGGATACAGAGATATGGTTGGTTAATGTGCAGCAGAACTGTAGAACTGCGGTTTAAAAAACCAAAATAACTGGTTGCTAATTTCAGTGTGTTTTTAATCTGTCTTTCTTAAATGTTTTTCATTTCTTAATGGATTAAAGAGCATACATGACAGCTTTTAGGATTTCATAATAAATACGCTTTTCCTTTCCTCCCCTCCACTGTCATCTTTGGATTAAACCAGTACTACATCTAATTGAATAATGTTCTGGATTAAGATTAACTACCTTGTATTTCTTAAAAATGTATATACACTCATAAGCTTGTGCAGTATAAATTACGCTAGAATGTTAGGAAAAAAAGGAATGCTGACATGAGTAGCTAGGTATGGCTATGATACACAGTAATTACCTTATTTCTGTGATGGGTAAATTGGGGCAAATTAATAGAACAAGCAATAGCATTATCAGAAGTGTGATATCAAAAAGAGAAGATAATATTTATTATTTTAAGAGTAACTTGCAAATTGTAAATGTTGTCAGCCAGGAGGATCTTCATAATGTTCATGTGATTTGCAGAAATACCCTTTTGGCCAGCTTTGTTAGCACAGTTAATAGAACACATTTTCCATGCAGTCATACAGCGTTTCAAATAATTTTCTCAGCTTTTACTAATTAGGTGGTCTGTATTTGTTTTATATATTCTTATTCCTTCTTATATTATAACTAGTTTTGAGCTGTTAGAGTTACAATAGTAGGTACGGAGGGACACAGCAATCATACTTCCTTGCTTTATCAACTTTCATTAACCTGCTGCATATTTTTATCTTGTATTGTGTGGTTGGGTTAAGGATACAGATAATGAATCAAAATAATGAAAAACACTTGCCAAAGATGAAAAGGCAATTTGTTGATAATTGTCTCTTTCTAGAATACTTGTTAGGAACTGTGAGCAAAGAAAAGTCACCTTGTTAATAAAAAAGGAGGGGGGAAGAAAACCCCCCCTTTTCATGTGAAGCTATTCATATATGTATATATTTCTCTTCCTCCAACAATCAAGCTTGAAAAACAACCATAAATTTCTTAACAAAAGCAGATTGAAGAATTTCAGGGCTTGACTTGCTTGTACATTTCTTGTGTTTAAATTTGCTAACCTTCTGTGATTTATGTTAGTGGCAGTCAAAATACTGAGCAGAACCAGTGTGGTGCAGAGATGCAGCAGGGGGAGTTAAGTGACATGGATCAGGATTTGTCCTGCATTTCAACAAGAAAGGCCTGAAGACTATTGGCTTCATACAATTACTGCATCAATTATAATAGGAGGAATACATATAGTGAGTAATTCACCTTCAAATGCTGGGCAACCTGCATTAGCGTGGCATCAGGCAGTGCCCCTAGTAGATTTTCCCCTGGTGTGCTCATGTGAACACAACATGTTCACATGAGAATTTCTTGCTGGAGTTTAAGGCAAAGGCAAGGTCATGTGGGTGGTGTAGCTGCCGATACCAAGGGAGAGCTGCTGCCAGGTCCCTCTGTTCTGGTTGAGGTTGTCCTGCACCCAAGGGATGTGTGCAGTGCAGCATGGACCTGTTGTCACTAGCTTCTAAATGTGCAGTGTTCTCACAGTCAGCAACACCACCTTTTCCACCCCTTGATTCTCAGCCCTTTCCCAAGTTACAGATTGCGTTAATTACTCAATAGAGCAGAAATGGTTGGTCAGGATCACCAACCACTCAAATACAATGTCTTCTTCAAGGTCACCATACAACATTAATCTAGAAATTGTTTCAATTTTGCTCTTATGTAAAATTACAATACTCCAAAAGAGCTCCTAGGTTTGTTGCGTTTGCTCACTCTTTCTGGTGAAGTGAAGTTTTATGAGCTTTTTGAAGGAATTGAAAGGATGGTCTTGGTTAATCTCTCACTATGAAACAGAGGAAACCAAATATAGGAAGTAGAACAGCTAACAGTGTTTTGTCATTAGAACAATGAAGGCATCCAGAGAAACAGAAAGGCAGCAGAAGAAACCCAGCATTTTAAATTTTACTCTCTTCCCTCTTCTTGACCTGAAAAGTGTCCTGCGCTTTTCGTGTTGGTCTGCAGTTCTGGTTGATACAATACTGGTCAGGACTCAGAAAAGAAGAGGGAATTAAGATATTCTTTGCCAAGTAAACAAATCACAGTTCTTATCTTGATGGCATTATACTGTCTATATGGCACTATACGTCGATTAAAATTTATAAGAACTTGGCAGGGAAATAGCAATGACTGCGTAAATTAGGGAACCCGAGAGTAATCCATTTGGGAAGGCTCTTTCTCCCATTATTTATGTAAAGCTTATATATATATCCTCACTTTTAATCTCATGCTCATGAACATCATTCCTGTGTCTGATATGCCTGGTTTGCTATCCCTTTGCAAATAATCTCTGTGAACAGCATCATTCTTTCTTGACTTGACTTGCATTGTGTATTTGTGTGTTCTTTAAATCAAATTTCTCTGTGATGTACTTTTTCATTCTCCGCTATGGTTTAAAAAGGAGGTTTTATATGAATTATATGTGACTGCCTGCATATGTTTGGGTTATTCTATAGGTGGTGATTCGTGCTCAGAATGGCGAACTCCTCTACCGTATTTCACCTTGGGCAAGATACGTAATCCGTGATGAAGACAAAGTGAATTATGATTGGGTACATTGGAATCCACCACAGTCTTATATAGTAAGGCTTAAGTGTTATTTTCAAAAGGTGTATAAAACAGTGTATCGTGTCATTTTCGTATCCCTGCCTGGAATAAAGAAGAACTGTTCCGTAAAAAGAAGGTGGCAAACTAATTAAAATAGCTACCTGATAGGGGAATAGTTTTTATTCATGCCTCTGACAGAAAGAAGTTACTTTAGTGAAGGATGTTTTTGAGCTACTCTTTCAGTCTCCCATAGAGTATATAAGAAAAATAGTTACCCATTGAAGTGGTATTATAAACTTAGCTTTCCATATGCTAGGCAAGCTCAATAAGTATTCCAAGACTAGGTGGCCCTTCCTGGTCCGGAGGAGAGCAGGGAACTACTAGAACTGGGCTTGAGTCAGTTGCAAATACAAAGTTTAGCACTGCAATAATAAGCCAATGCTGTATGAAGTCAGAAAAAGCTTTTAAAAGTAAGGCGCTCATGTTCCAGTCAAATCCTAGTTTCTTCTTATCGGGAAAATCCATTTATTGATTTTAAAACCGTTTTAATTCTCATGGACTGCTATAAAGCTGGAACTTTTCACATGATATATGAAAAATAACCTAGGAGAACATTCAGAAAATTCAGACTGCCTACTTTTTTGGTGTTTTCACTAAAACATGGTATGCAGTGCTCTGTATTAGAGGCACTTCACAATTTGAGGTAGGTGCTAAAATTTAACTCAAAATGGGAGGTTACAGCATCTGCTTGACGAAGGGTAACTCACATCTCTTAAAAATCGTAAGTGCTGTAACTTTCTTATTTAAGCATGTTGTTTAATGGCCCACCCTGTATCTATGATGCTCTATGACACCTAGATCCTCTATAACAGGAGAAATGGGGAGCTAATGCAAAATGCAGTGATCTGTAATGGTGTAGAGTAAAAAGGAGGCAAGGACATTTTCAAAAATGCCTTACTGAGATAAGTCAGGAGGAAAAAAGTAAGTCTCTGTATGAACAGGAGAGGTGCCCAGTTGAAGTAAACTACAGGGAACAAACCTCTACCAGAACTTCTTGTTCTTCACATTATCCTTTTAGTTTCTGTTCATGTATGTGTGTGTTTTTACTGATTTTGTTCTAACTTTTCAAAAACAAGTGTAAGCTCTCCTTCAGGTGTAAGGAGGGGGTTTTGTGATGAACTTCAATGGCCTTTGTATTCTTTAAATATTTTCACCCATCTAGAAATATTGTGTACTTGCCTACAGACTTTGGATATGGTTTGGTTTGGTTTTTTTTTTATCCCAAGTAATTGGAACATAGATGCTTTTGTGCTGTGGAACTGTGTTCTTTAGGGCTGAAATATTTATAAATTTTATTTGGAGAAGGCAGGTATGCTTAAAAAATAACCTGTCTTCCTTTTGGTGACTTTTCTTTTCAAAAAAGCTTCATAGTTATTCAGAAGAACTTCTTAGTACAATGGATGCTCTAAGTTTGTACACTTCAGTGTAATTTAAAAAGGGTAGAAAAAAGTGTTGAGTCATGGTTGTCCAGTTTCTTCTTCATGAAGAATGCTAATTTGAATTAGACAGTTACTTTAACAGTTGAGAATGCTTAATTATTTCTGTAATGTTTGTGCTCTTAGAGGAAAAAGAAAACAAACCTAAAACTGTTTTTCATCTTGTGCAAATTATGATTGTGACAACACTTCCAAGCTGTTCCTAACAACAACTGGTGGTTGTTTTGTGTTTTTTTTTGCCTTATAGCATAAGCATCCTTCCCCTAAGAGATTAAAAAGCCTAAGAATCTATGAATCTCATGTGGGGATTGCTTCCCCAGAAGGGAAAGTAGCTTCTTATAAAAATTTCACATACAATGTGCTACCTAGAATAAAGGATCTCGGTAAGTAATAACGGACAAATTGCTAAGATTAACTTTTCATGTGCTTTTTATTTTTATCGGAAAATGTATTTGTCAAATGTCTATAGGTTTTTTGCATTTTCAGGTTACATGTACTATACAAATAGATTTTTAGGGCAGCAAAAACTAAAAGCAAGTGATATATCCATTCCACAGGTTTTTAAGTAAACTGTGATTGCAAAAGGCTTGGTAAATAGCGCAGGGCAGTTTGCTTTCGGCATGGTTTGCTTTCAGCTTGAAAGAGGACCCACTTTTGTGAGATAGTCTTCAGAAAATCCTGTGTTCTTAATCAGTTCTAGTAGTGTAAGTCTTGATTCTAAGGGAAGACAAAGAACTATTTGGATGGAAAGGACTGTCGTTTCTATTTGCTGGAATAAGCATGCTGAATTTCTTATCCCTGAACAGCTGCTATGAAGCATCAGAGCATGGAAACTTTAAATGTGACAGACCCTCTTTTGTAAAAGAACTTCCAGTATATTGGAGGGGATGTGTGAAACAGCTGGGATAATTATGTCAGGAAGCACAGGAAAGCTGTTTACCTCAATTTATAGTTGAAGATTATGTTTTTTCCAGTGGTGTTTTTGCACTCTTTCTATAATGGACAATATTGGAACTTGCTGCTTTTTACTGCCCTCTGATGAAATGTTTTGATACACTCAACTGTAAAATAATGGTAACATCCATAGCCGAGACCTCTGTGAATGGTAGTTGTGCTTTTGTGTAGAATTACTTACTTATTTATCAGAGCGCCTGAAGAAGTCATACCTTTTCCTTGTAGATTTACATGTTGAGTCAGTGTTTCACAAAATGTGGTTTTCCCTTTCAATAAAGTTGAGCTTGCAGGTGGGAGGTACTTTGCACGTCTGGAGGCCCTTAACAAAAAGTAGATCTGGATTCCATGTTACGTATCTGTGACTTCCCTTATTGCCCAAGAATTTCAGTGGTTCCAGGAGGTTAATAGGTCTGATGGAAGTATGAAAGCTTTCTGCTTTACTGGCAGATTTTTCTCTGGGAAGGAGAAAGGATATGAAAGGCTGATATGCCACAAAAATTAAAGCAATCTAAAATTTAGGGAGGGTGTATAAAGATGATAGATAATGTTAATTCTTACTTACATTAAGTAAACACTAGGTTGGGGTGTTTTATGTATTTTTAAGATTCTGTTTTGGAATGTCTTACTTGTTAGTTCAAGCTTAAAGACATCAGTATTTAAAGATATTAATAGTTGGTAGAAATATGTGCATGACAAATAGCAAAATAAATAGCAAGCAAATCAAATGAGATTAATTTGATGCTATGCTGCTGTTTATTTATAAAAACGCTGTAAATAACAATAAGTGCAATGAGCCTGAATTATAAAACAGCAGTGAATCTGACGAATTGCTGAACTCCTGCCAACTGTCTTCTAAGAATAACTCTTGTAGCGATGAAATTTAATACCAAACCCAATAACAATAAAAAAGAAACCAGGATCTTATCTAAACTAAAGAATGAAGATTTTGGTTAAACTGAAAAAGAGGAGTGGTGGTGATGGAGTTTCAACAGGCTGTAGATTAAACCTGAAGGCTATCTTTCGCTGATAGTCCTTGCTTGCTAGCTCTCTGGGGCACTTACCCACTGATATTAAAGATAGCTTTAGTTAACGTGTGTGACAATTACTGTGCCTTCACCGTTAGCATGCTGGTTTCGCTTTAGATTTTGCTCTCTTAATACTGCACTGAACTCCTAGGTGATACATGAGGCAGCGTGTCCCTGACCCTCCTGTAGTAACTTGGTTCTTTGGTAAAATCAGAACAAAAACACATGACTTTTTTGTTTTGTGTTTTCTGAAAGTCTTTTGTAGAGGAGGAATATAATCATTAAAGTTGGAAAAAAAGGTGTTTCTGAAGTGGTGACAGAAGATTCCATACGGCATAAGATATAGCATATGTAGCTGGTGACTACCCCCACATCTCCTCACTGCAAGCGTCAAAAGTAAAATAGAGGTTCAGGACATACAGATGGGCATAGTTAAAATTCTGAGGTTATATTAAGATTATATATGAGTATCACTTACTGCTTTCTAAATCTGAGAGATTCGGTACACCTAGCTATATGTAGATCATTTGACAAATCGACTGTTCCATTTGTATTGGAAGATCATGTAGGTATAAACTACTAGGTAGAATTTCTTCTTGAAAGAGACCAAGTTGTTAATCATTAGAGTTGGAAGCAGCTAAAATGAGAGAAGACTTGAATGGATGTGTTACAGGTGTTGAATCCTCTTTTAACTATCCCTAAGGCAGGCTTTTGTTTTATTCTATTTCTATAGGATATAACTGTGTCCAGCTGATGGCTATTATGGAACATGCATACTATGCCAGTTTTGGTTATCAGGTCACAAGCTTCTTTGCAGCATCAAGGTAAGCTTAAGTACTTCAGCATCTTCTCTGCTCTTTAACTTCACATCATTACTCCTTACATCCATCGAAATCAGTATGCTTGTATGTGTGTGTTTGCAAGTAAATATTTAATGGAAAGAGAAAGTAATGACTGAGGTATTTGCTCTAGCTTCCTCTTAAATCTGAAATCTATTTGACATAGTGATCAGCTGTTCTGTGAAACACTTCGTATAGGATACAAACAAAAAGGAAGTAAGTTCAACTATCCTAGCATATTCCAGTTAATCCACCTTCGGCAGTCTTTATGCTTGGATTTTGTGTTGCAGTATTCTTGGCAGTAACAAACATGATGTGTAAGTCACTCTTTATGATAAAACAGAACTGTACACTACTTGTTCATAATAAACGTCATTAAAATCATGGCTTTGCGTGTTCTGTGGGAACAGCAGCAGACTGTTCTTAGGTTTGAGGCCTAGAGTGAAAATGTATTCAGGTAATTGTGAAGAAAATTATTCTTGTCCCTTAAGAAATAAGGAAGTGTCCAATATTAAATAGAAGCCTTAACTTTTATCAGTTGTCTTTTGTACTGGATTTGGTGTATTAACAGATGAAAAAGGAAGAATAAAACCTTGAAACTCTTTCCGCAAACCATTGTGTGCATTCATGCTGTAATTTCTATAACTAAAAATTGTTTATTTGTCAGGTTTCAATAACTATTACTTAAGAGACTGAAAAAATAACCTGCATGCTACTGGAAACTAGGTGGTGAAGAACTGCTCACTTAGATGCAATTTATGAGTAATGTTCAGTATTGCCAGCTTAAGTTCAGGTTTTACCACTCATAACACAATGCATTTTCATGTTGGTAGCCGTTACGGAACTCCAGATGACCTGAAAGAAATGATCGACGTTGCTCACTCAATGGGCATCACTGTTCTGCTCGATGTAGTGCACAGCCATGCATCCAAAAACTCTGAAGATGGTCTCAACAAATTTGATGGTACAGATTCTTGTTTCTTCCATTCTGGTCCTAAAGGAACTCATCAGCTCTGGGACAGCAGGCTCTTTGACTATGCAAAGTAAGTATAAAATGTCACTTCAGGTGTGCTAGTTATTACTGTTTCTTGCCAATTCTATTAAAACTACACTGTTTGCCAAATTGGAGAACTTATTTGGCTTGTTCAGTAGTTTGGATATGCTAACTTTGCTAAATACTTAAAACCTAAGACAAAATAATATTATTTAGGGTTTTTCTTTTTAATGGCTACATATGTACATGTTATATACCAGGTGCATTGTATGTATTCTATAATCATGTCGTGTAGTTACACTTTATATTAACTTTTGTTTTTAAGGAGGTTCAATATTTTATGCACAGATGTATATTAAATATTTATATAGGAACATTTTATATTTAATGATATATTATAAATGGATTTGCATTGTCATGTATTTTTATA